TTTGAAATCTTCTGGTTGGGCTACAAGTGCATACAATACAAGAGCATCATCTTCATTTTTCAGGCCTCCACACAATACTTGGTCCAAAGGAGGGGTAGGGAGGGGGGTTCTTCGGTATAGATAGACTTTGGTCGCACTACAACTCGAAAGGTGGGCTGTATTCTTTTGAATCCTCCTACCTAGCACCAACAAGATGGAGTGTCATTTGTGGTTATCCACGGTAAATGGCTACAACATCGACCGTTCCAATTCTTTCAGCTTTTGGTTCTTAACTAGCGGAGAAGCAACGCAACCCTGTAGGACATAGACTCTGCACATGCGTTCTTCGAGTTGATCTCCCTTAGGCCCAGGAAAAAAACAGATCATCATTTTTCATGAGGGGAATGCCTCGTGACTCAACCCTTATTGACCCTCATCAGATGTCATCACTGTGCGGCTGTGCCTGTTTTTGTACATTCGTGAGACAGGGACTCCCTCTCCCTCCTGTCTCAGCTCAGAAAGGCACCTCCTGAAGGCGTACCCGTACCGTGGAAACCAAAAAGGGTATACAGATCGATATGTACAGATCTATTTGTTGTAGACATATTGGTCATGTCATATACAGATATTTGTTATACACAGATCTGATTTACCTGGTGTTTCTCTAGGTCATATCCCCCCTTTTTTTCTACATAAATCCCCCCCTGCACACCCCAGGCATCTACCAACGGCCTCCCCCACACCTCCCTACCTCTCCCGGCACCTCGTCGCGCTGTTCACGAAGGCGATGCTCGGGCGCGTGGCCCGGCTGGGTCGCCAGGACCTTAGGGATGGACGGTCGCCCTGAGGCGCCAGGACGCGGAAGCAGAGCCTATCCAAAACTCCCAAACCTAGTAGACTATACCAGCACCACCCAGTTTGGGTGGTTATTAGGTGGAAAATAGATAGATCTGGGGAGTCTAAAAACCACCCGACATGGGTGGGGAGTTGTTATAGGGGATGTTAGGGGGAAGACCCTCTTGAAATATCTGTCGACTCCTTTGGCCTTTCTACCTTCCCAGTGGAGGGGTTGGACCCGAATTCTCAGGTCGGTCTGGTGTCGAACCGATCCCTATATGGTTTTGAGGGGACCGGTCGGGGTTTTGGTTTGATCGCGTTTGGGTAGCAGAATGGTTTGACATCTCCAGACCTCAGGGAATGGCCCTGTATGGCTTGTAAAGGGTCTTGTAGAGCCATACGGTCGAGTGTGGCTTGTGCGGCTATGTGTTTCTGCCTCCGGAGCCACACATCTCTTTTACTCCACCCGGGCTTCTGCCGCCTCACTGGTGGTTTTGTTGAAGCTGCGGTGGAGAGGCTCCGGTATGTTATTGAAAAAAAAAAGAAGATGTTGAAGCACCTTCCAAGGAAGGTGCATGCCTGTTTTCTTTTTGGTGAAATCCGGGGAAGCGGTAGAGACGCCACGAGCCATATAGAGGAAGCTCCAAACGATGGGCATGAAAAGGGACCGGGACTGGGACGCCAAAGATACATTTAGCATGGAACGTGGACCCTCCTCAACTGTGGGACACTAAATGGGGAGTTGATCCTCTAAGACTCTGGGACACTGTGGGTCCTCAGACACTCAATGGGACACTGTGGACCCTTTTCAGATACTGGAACACTGGAGGGTCCACTCAGAGTCTGATGTTTGAATGGATGAAGAACGGTCAATGATGGCATAGTTCAGTGTCATGGACTTTGGGTATGGAGTGACAACTGCAGTAACTGCTTCCGAGGGAACGGACGGCACCCAAACGAATTGGGGTTTGGCGATCAGGGGATCCTGAGCCCCCCCGTGACGTTTAGAGGCATGGTCCATGGTTGAAATGATCCGGTGCGGTTTGACAAGGCTGCGCCCAGAGGTTGCTTGTAAGAGTTGTAGAAAGTGCAAGCATAGCGGCATATCAATGCATATCACTGATCCATTCTGCCAAGTGTTTTTATGGTTCGATAACTTTGTGACCAGCAGTCACAAGACGGGGTGCTATCCATGGAGGTTAGGGGTGCCCAGAACATCCACTCACTGGATGGGACTAAAAACCACCCCTTTGTGACCCCGGGTGGTTCGATAACTTGGTGATATCAATTTGGTTGTCCGATTTACAGTGTTGAAACATCCATGGTGAACTGGTCCAGTCTCGTCCAGTCTCGGGGTCTTGTTTGGCCTTTCCTTTGACACACACACTCACTTACAGTGCTTTCAGAGTATTATAGATGGCACTGGCACCCCACGATGTCTGTTTGGATGTCCAAACCACCACACTTGGACATTTGTGCCATCTCTCAATCGTACAAAGTGGAACATCTTCGAGTTTCACTTCATCAGTCCCCCTTCTCCTTCCAAACGACCACAGACCACGTCCCTCACCCTTCCATCCTGGCGCGCCACGCACCGACGCGCCGTTCCAGGCCTCGTCCTCGTCCTCGTCCTCGCTGGGGTGGACACTGCGCCGCTGACCGCGGAGAACGCACGCCGCCCGGCGATGGTCGAGGTCGGCAGAAGTCTTGGAGTGAAGGAGATGTTTTGATGGCAAGGGTCATGAATTGCATTTCCTTTATAGACATCTCATGACATCTCCAAACATGTCATCTTGACTCCAGGTTGAAGGATGGAAGTAAACATAAAACCCACCCAGAGATGGAAGGGGTATCATCACAGGTGAATTCCTTCCGTGCAAAACATATATGAGTACTTTTCCTACCATATATTCGTCATATTTCATATTATATTGTTGTATCTTTTCCGGAAGCACCTTGGATGAATCGGGATCCATCTGGTTCCATGGTGCCGTTTTGTATGGTGACCCACGACTGGTGAGAAGCTAAAGCGGGGAGTGAAGTCTTCACCGAGGATGGAACGTGAATTTGGAGGAGCGGCATGTGCCAGAGGCCTACCGAGGCCCACCGAAGTCTTGGGTCGACAGAGGGACAAGGGGTCGAACATGGGGTCGAAGGAGTTGCCCCAAAAAGGGCTCCTGGCCTCCGGTTCGGTGGTTGGGGGTGGGTGCCAGGAGGGTCTAACCAGCGAACCTGAGGATTATGGGTGGAGCTGCAGGGTTGGAGCAGGTGGGGATGCGTCGTGACCCACCGGATGAGCCGCGAGAGGCCGGAGTCTGGCGCCAGTTCCGCCATGTGAAGGTCTTAGGGCACAGATTGCCAGGAAAGATGTGGATGAGCAGCCCGTCTAGGGGAGCCATGTGAAGGCTTTCCCAATCACCCTACTTAGGGCACACAGATCCTCGTGGTTTAGATCCTGTCAAAAAATATAAACAGATCACCAGGGAAAAGCGAACTGTTGGGGAGATTGGGGACAGAAACCAGAAACCAACAGGTGGACAGTGTTCCTACCGAGTCTACAAATCTCTGGAAACAAACGAGTAGTGTTTTTTTTGTATGTCTAACTCCAGTAGAAGGAGTCTGACCTACAAGTCTCTTGTTGCCTTTAGTAGTGCTTTGTATGCCCAAAGTCCAATAAAATGAGGTCAATCTGACTTGTAGGTTTGAAACCTTTATTTTCGAAGACGGCTCGGGGGTCAAATTATCTTATTTATGGCTATGGGCTCTCAGCGGCTCCTGATTAAGTGTTTTGTGATCAGCTTCGAGGCTGTAAGTGTATACCTTCTGAGATGATTCGAGCCCGGCCTAGGCTTGCCAAGACTGCAGATTGGGTATTGAAATACTGCCCATGCACTATGATGATGGTACAACTGGTTAGTTTCTGGTACACCGAACTTGGTGTACTGCAAGCACAGGCAAAGAACATTTGATGCACTCTCACTCCGAAAAGATCTCCAGCATACAGCAAGAGAAGGAAGAAGACTCTGAAAAGTGTTGATGAGTTGCTAGATGATGTGGGACGTTGGGTCGACAGCATATCTGGGCCGGCTGTGGTTGCACCTCAGTGACGCTACACTCGTTTGAGCACGTCGGCGAGGCAGAAAGAGCTTCGTTTCAGTTCTAAACGATGCTGTACTTACATGAAGACAACTGGACATGATGCTCTCCAGCTGTGGTATTGAGCGATGAGGCTTTGTGCCCATTCGGCTGGGTTCAGGAATTTTTAGCCTTCAAACAGAGAACCAAGCAAGTTGGCATGGGAGACGATGGAAACTGGTCGCTGCAAGTTGGCAGAAAAGCCTTGAGAAAGTGCTTGACCTGGTGGTGAAGACACATCCACCAGCCAAAACCTTTGGTGTATTCACAGACAAACTGCTCGTGGTCAAGGGTGTTTGCTGGTTGCCTCCATTTTAGCTTTTGAGCGCTTGGCCCGGTATATAGGCATTGAACACTTGGCTTTTGGTTGACTTGATTTGCCTTTTGGCCGTTTGCGGCTGCCCATGGTTCTGCTTAGGCGGATGCTTCTTTCCCGGTTTCAAAAGAAGCAAATCCAAGTGTTTAGTTATTGTTATTCCGTACGGTTGAGTCTGCCCTCATGAAATACCTCATGTATGATACATGTCACGGAACGTTTGTCGGTCATTGAGCAATCAGTTTTACACAAACCCAGCTGACATGGTCTTGATTCTCGCCAACCAAGCGCCTCACACCACGCCGCTGCCTGCCGGCCAAACCCCGCGACCGCCGCTGTCGCGCAGCTGCTGCGTCACCTGCCAGGCGGATGGACGAATCATAGCTACTTTCCATCCCCCGAAGATTGGCGTTCCTTGTCCATCTATCAGCCACTTGGCGCGAAGTTCTACGTTGGTTGGATGGGCAGGTGCTGGCGGGAGCTGGCACGTTCAACAGATGTTCAACAATGTGGAGTCTTTGGATGGACCGGCTGGTTATGGTTTTGAAACACGTTGAAACCACAACAGACCACTTGGCTTTGCATATAAGGTGAAGTAGGTGAAGTTAAAATTCCCGAACTGCATGAATCACACTTACAAAACCCGCCACATCCAACTATATATACATACTGTTGCTCTCAATCCTCACCCTCTTCGCCTCTCATACAGCGAAAAGCCACCGCACAACTGGAGATGGATGGCAGGCTGATCACGGATCGCTTTGCGGATGGAGACCCCAGCAACAACGAACTCCGCTACGGCGGCTTCGATGTGAGGGATATGACCTTCCGCCATGGCGGGGACTTCCGCGGCCTGCGCCTCGGAGCGGCGCAAGGTGGAGGTGGGAAGCGTCGGATGGTCGAGATTCGTCGGAAGATCGAGGTGGAGGAGGTATGCAGGTATGAGGAAAATGGGCCGGGCGGGGTGTGAGGTGTTTCTGAACCCTTGAGCCGCCCTTGGCTGAAGAACAGGTGAAACTGCGAAAGCACCACCCAGAGATTGGGTAGGGAGGTGGGCTGGCGGTTTCTCCTCTCTGAGGATGCATCACAAACATAACTAGGCTATAAAAGCCTTTTGGAAGTTTCATGGATGGTCCCTTTGGTTATTCATGATGGTTTAGGCAAGATGGTTGATCCTTAGAGGTCAGTGGATGAACCCTTTGACACTGCCAGATCCTGGATTTCCAAGCTGGGCCTGAATGCCAGTCCAGTGTATTTGTCGAGGTCTCCAAAAAGATCCTTTTGAAAGACCTATATATATAGAAACATGCCACAACTTCGAGGATCCTCTCCGTTTTCAGGAGCAATCGCACCAGTGGATTCGACCCACCTTTCACCCTATGCATCCGCCTTTCAGTCACCACGAACTGTCGAGGTCGAGTAGTTCTTGCCCCCCCCAAAAAAAAAGAAGCTCCTCCCGGAACACCCGAATTTCGCAGGAAAAGTTCACCGAAAAGGTTCCAAAAAGGTCCAAAGGAAACAGTTTGCCCAACAAACAGTTTCTTCCCCAAAAAGTTCACACACACATACTCTCACTCACTCACTCACTCACTCTCTCTCTCTCTCTCTAAGGACTGAAAAGTTGCAATACATCAAAGGCCTTGGCTGTCGTGGCATTTGGATCTCACCGGTTTTCCAGCGACTTGGCACCAGACGAAATCGCCGAGTTCGAAAAAGACACGACTCACGGCCGAGTTCTCCCGCTCAGTTGGGAGTAGCATTTTGGGGGGGTCAGTGCTAAAGATGGCCGTTTTCGATGGGTGTGAATGGTGCCATTCGGTGAATGGATGGTGCCTGCAATGCAGCCTGATGCAGCTCAGACTGGTGCCCCCCTGGAATGAGAAGAGCTTCGCCTCCTGAGGTTTCTGAATGGATCCAGCCACCCTCATTCCCTGCTGACCCTACTCAGCACCGGTCAGTTCTTCTGGCCTTTTCTATTCTATACCGCGCATCCATCCTTTTCCGTCCTAGCATTGCTGGAACACACCACTTTCCCATGACAAACGCACTTGGCTGAAACCTCCGAACGGAGGATCATATCCGAAAGTCACGCCAAAACCTCGTAGTTTCGATCCCGTACCATGATTTGTTTTTTTCCATGTTTCCGCAGGAATCCGATCAAGCCCTGTAAGACCCTATCCAGGTATTCCTATCCAGGTATGGACCGACCCTCCCAAGTAGAGAAGAAAAAACACGACACATCCGACACATCGCGTTCGTGACCATCGGAAGAGAGTCATTTGACCGAGGAATGGCTACAACAGTTATCACCAATATTCTCAGTTGGATTTCACTCTGCTGGACCAACGCCTGGGCACGAAGGAGGAGCTTCGACGCCTCACGGAGCAAGCGCATGCACTGGGGCTCTACGTCTCTTGGATGGTAAAGAGCGGGCGGCGGAGGCGGAACGCGGTCATCAGTGTCGTCATCAATGAACAACTGAACATGAACCGTGACTCTCATGCACCGTGTTTCGCTCGTTTCGTGTCAATCATGTTTCAGTACGTTCAATGAATTGCTAGTCACGAATCATAGACATGTGCACACAACTGCAGGGTGCTTCAAAAGTATGATGTGTTTCAATAGTTTTTGATTGTGTATATAAGTTAACTTTCTCAATCGTAATCATATGGATCTATTTGAGGGTTGCCATAGAAACCTTCTGTGAAGAGCACATTAGACGGCCAACAAAGGATAGGAAGGCTGTATTTTTTCTTGCGCCGGGCAGATCTTGGATGGCCCAGATCCACCTTTTAGAGGATTCTAAGAGGTAGCAACAGGAATCAAGTATTCTCAGAGATGTGTTAAACCCACAGATTTCAGAAAGAGAAGGATTCCCAAACTGTTAGGTTTGTTTAGGTTCCAAAACGTACGTAAGCTCCACCCGCCTCAGACATAGCTTCAGACATATTCTTGACCCAACTTGGCATGCGCAAAGGTGCTGGACCGGGTACTGATCTTCATGTAGAAACAAATAGCTTTGATGCTTTCCAGACCAGACCTAAACGGCGACGTGCATTGGGTATGAACCGCGGTCGATGCTCGAAACATGCACGTTTGAATGGATGGCTCTCCGCAGGATGTCGTGTGGATGGCTCAAACGAGGTGATGACAACTCTGATGAGAGAAAAGCTTCACATTGTACTCTGAAGACAAGGGGTGGTCCTTGACTATAGCGAGTTGTTGAGATTGAGAGATCCCCCACTTCGATCATCACTCATTTTCGTAGTTCAACTCTCCAATCGAAAAAACAAACAGGTCAGGAAGTAGGGTCCGGTCTAGCTCCTTAGGTCTGGCCTTCGATCTCTTCACTGTCCGGTTGCTCCGGGTCCCGTTGGTTTCGCGCGGTGCGACCGCCACGCGCGCGCGGTCCAGAGGTGATTGTCGACGTGGTGATGAACCACATGAGCTCCTGGGAACGGAGATCCGCGCGGGGTCGGCGATCTGCGGACCGCCCACACCGGGACCGTTGTTGGTCCTGAAAGAACACCTGCCTGATGGCTAAAAACCTATAACCCTATAACAGAGGTCACATGGGTTCCAGGAACATGTTTTATGTATGACTGTAGATCATACTCAAGGTGCAATGAAATAGTATGAAGATCGACCTCCAAACAGATCGCCAGGCTCCACCCACCTGTCCCGTGTTTGTGGTTTCAGAGGTGAGAAATGGCACTGGCACCGGCAGTACAGTCTTAGACAGGTCCAGTGGTGCTCATGTAAACCACCAAACGTTGGGGTAACGAAGTCGCCATCGACTCCCAATCTACTATACCGCGGTATACCAAAGTTTCAGGAAGGCAAAATGACGGAGTCCCGTCAATATGGATATTGATTCTCAATTCTCAAAGACCTTTGGCAGACTGAATGGCAGACACTCCATGAGAATGGCACATGATGCAATGCCCCCATAATTCAACACAAGGTATACGATTCCTTTCTACCGCAGCATTTCCTTGTTTGCGTATTGTGGGTGTGTGTGTTTTTTGTTAATGTCTCTATGGGTACATCCCCTGGCATGGTGAATATGTTGTATCTTTTCCTGGTTGCTTAAATATTGTTTTCTCTGTGGCTTAAGCAAATACAAGATTGGGCCGGCTTAATGCGTGGATGGGAGATCCTCCACAAAAAGGGGAGACCCCGAGTGGTCGGCGGTAAGTGGTCTACCAGAGACCCCAACACCGTGCAAGCTGGCGAGAAAAAACACTCCAATGTATGCCAAAAACATTGGCTCAGAAACACAACACTGGTTTTTTGTTTTCTGGAGTCTTGAACTCAGATGTGCTTCGTCTCTTTCGTGACGCCTCGACGCTCCGTGAGGCAACGAGTTCTTCTTCGAAGGCACCGCGCTCCGCGTTGGGGGAGCGGCGGCGAGCGTTTGGAGCGGGACGGCGTGAGGTTTCGGCGGGTCGTGGTGGGGATTGGTTGCGACCTGAGACCTGGTTGGGGGGGATTGGACGTCCCCCCTTTTTAGTCGGTTTCAACATGTCATAGCTGACAAGTGACTGAAATATCATGGTTCAAACACGCGATGGTCGGCGTTTAGCCAGTTACACCAGCATAGACCTTAGATAGCAACTAACTTGAACGGAAACACATGTTTTCCTCTTAGCCCGGCGAGCCCGTGAGACAAGTGGGGACACATGTAAGGAGACAAGTGGGTGGATAAGGCAGCAGCGGCACATCAGGCAAGCCAAAACGGCCATCACGCAGGCAGACATGTAAGGAGAGAAGTGGGGAGACGAGGCAGCAGCGGTGCTGTGCAGCGGCAAACCAAAACGGCTGTCACATAGCTTAGACAGTTGGAGAGTCAGAGTGGGAAGGTCGAAGAGCTCAAGCAGCGATGCGCAGCAGCAAGACCTGGCGAAGCGAGAAGGTGTCAGTTGGAGAGCGAGAAGGTTGAGAAGTAGCGGTTTCAGCTTGAGCTTAAACGCAAGGAGGAAGAGAAGCTGCTCCTTGAGCGCACGAGAAGATGAATCTCTCGCATGCGCTGACATCCCTTCAGCAAAAGCTTGCTTATCAAGAAGTGAGCAAGAGGTTGTGACATGGTCTATATGGCGACCGAATGAGGGCAGACAATTTGGGGCCACTATCCAGAATTTCTTCCTTGCACTGTTGGGCTGTTGGGCGGCCCTTGGGAGAGAATTTGGACAGACGTACCGCAGGAAGTGGGCCGTGGGAGTGTGCTTCCTGCATTTCTTCTCCTGCATGGCTGCTCAGCGGCCTTATTTCCAAGTGGCAGGTCTCTTCTCCGCGCTCTTGTTCAGCCCAACATGACGTCAAATCAGAGAGCGCCAGCGCGTGGAGTTTGAAGAGCAGATGAAGCTGGCAGATGATCTTGGAGACCTCATAATATGTCAATGTGAGTGCAGCGATAGTGCAGCACCATATGTATAGCAAGAATGTACTGCATGTACATGCCATTGACCTGAGTAGCACAAACAAAACATACACACTGGGCTTTGTTTTGGAGCGGGTAACACCCAGCACTGGCACATGCGTGGCCGTCCAGCATTGCACGCCCCAGACACTCCATGTATGGCAATGGCAACCCATCAATTGGGACTGTTTTATTATTGGAAGGCCGGAAGGCCATCAAAAGAAAAGTGGACCTGGTTAACCTGGTCGTCTTGCAGTCCAACCTCCGCAGCAACAGAGAGTTGCCTCAGGTTATAAGCACTGAACTGAACCCATAGAACTTTGTTGTTGACCACAGGCCTTGAGCCCGTCATGTCACTTGCGAAAATGGGTGAAAACGAAAGCGAACTTGCCTTGAACGTGACTGTTCAAAGTGCAGTTCTCAGCGCAGGTGGGTTTGACTTAGTGTTTTTACAAAGCTGACCAACCATTTAAAATTGTGTTTCACTTGTCTTCACTTGTTGACTCACGAACCGTCACAGATTTTCCGGCGCCATATCGACCCAAATCCTCAACCCAATTCCTTTGGTGGCTTTGGGCCCGGGTGGAAAGCGAGCTGCATTCTGTTTGGAGACTAGCTATTGTCAATGTCCTTTGGGTTATTATTGTTTGTCAGAATGTCCACATTGAGCAGGGCAGATTCAGAGGTATCAGTCAGAACTACTTGTTCATCGTGAGTAGGTTTCCAAACCATATGGCATTTTTTCGTGTGGCATCGCACCACCTCCCTGCAGAAGATCGGTAAGATCGGGAGAGAGGACGATGGCCAACTGCAAACTAACATGTTGAAACCATTGTTTTAACCAGGTTTTGTTGAGCTCTCCCACCCTGAGAGTGATTGGTTCGGGAATGCGATCCATAAGATGACAGTTTGTTTCCGACATGGGCCCTGACTTTGGATTCCTCCTAATGTTTGATGTGGATTGATTAATGCGCGCAAGTGTCACTGGTTTTGTGCCTTGGCTATCGCAAATGGGAAAAAAGGGAGAATGGTTTGCAACCTGATCACCACCCACTTAATAATGATTGATTCATGGGAATATACCGATATATTGATATACCCCATCTATGCCTACATGGTTGGTCCGTCTTCGCCCTTCTCCCGTGGCGAAGTCTCTTCGACCGTCCCAGGTCACAAAGAGGGCCGTGCTCCCTGGCGAATGCACGAAACGGTCCAGGGCCGGGAGTACCTGCTGCTCACGCGCAAGCGCCTCGGGCGATCGGATTTTATCTGGGACCAACACGGGGGACTGCATGAGGTGCATGGCTTGGTGGGTGGAGATTTGGTTGATGCGTTGCATGGAGGTGTTCTGGAACTTCTCAGAAGATTCTCAGGGTACAACACTGATCTGATTCAGTTTGCCACTTGCCCAGTACTTGCACACCTTCCAGCTTCCAACGAGTAGGATCATATGAGTTATATGGGCCCGTGGTATAATTTGCGTTGCGTGATGTGGAAAATGACATGAGGACTCGTCCATGGCAAGATGGGCAGCGGCGAGCAATCAGAAACCAGAAGCAACAGGGATTGACAGGGAAGGACAAGACCAATACGGATCCAAATGGCACAAGAAACAGAACGACCTCGCTTACAAAAGATGGCTTTGTATTTTCCCGGTTCCTGGGTAATATCTGATGGCAGGGGGGGAATATGATTTCCCGGCTTCCTGGACAGCATATCCAAAGACATCAAGTCAAGTGCAAAAAAATAACATATATATATATATATTATATTATATACTATACCAGGACCCCTCCTTAGAGGTTAAGGTGTGTCCATTAACCACCCGTGGGTCCTGGTATATGTTATATATGGAATAAATGATGGAATGATGATATGCCTATAATACATATATGTTCCATAGGCATATAATACATATATATATATATATAGGCATATGCTCCATATAATAGGTATATACCTATATGCCCTGCATATATGTTCCATGATGGAATGTCCCATATGTGATCCTATATGCCTATGTAGGTTTTTGGTGCTTTTCTTCACTTCAAGGGACTGAGTATACTATTGCCCGGTTGAAGCCCATTCCATAGGTAGACCTCGCCGCGAAGGGATGTGATCAATAGTTGTGTCCATCCTGGTTGAAGCTGTAGGTCAGGGGCTATTTTGGACAGCAGCAATGTGTTGCTGTAATGATCTCGAAATCTGAATCGTTGAGGTTCTTTTCATCACTCACTAACTCCTTGCCGCGTGTTTCTTAGGAAGAGAGAACATCACATCTTAAGAACCAACCACAGAAGGGGCAACACGGACACCTAATGCTTAAACTTATGCCTTGTGCTTCATCGCCATTTGCCCAGTCTCCCTGGTTCGGCTCACCCGGTCTTGTCCATCGTTTGGGTCTGAGGCCCATGGAGGAGTTGCATTCGACACCTGCCGGGCGACAGCCCTACATGGACTTTTGGTACAACAACACCTGGGATCCCCAAGCGCAATACCCAGGCAACGGATCACCAACGGAAACACGACATGATAACACCGGGGGCTGCAGCCCGGGTGTTTGCACACACCACGGCGGTGAAGGGACATGGACACACAGCACGTGTCACCAATTGGCAGCCTGTGTCACCGGGGAGTCCTGGTTTGTGGTCGAGATGTGCTATGCACTGTGGGTGTGGGATGGGATGATGTGAGCACTCAAAGGATAGAGACTAAGTGTCCAAACGGACCTTTTGAGTTGGTCTTCATGGAGTTTAGATCACGACTGATCACGACTCCCATTGAAAAATATACCGGTCGGGCGCTGGTCGGTCTTGTATAAGTTTGTTCATGGGATGATATGGATAAGAGACTTCACAAGGCAGAGCTGTATATAGCAAGCATAAGAAAACACATGCAAACACCAGGTTTTCAATACCCTGTCAAACACAAACCTGGCAAAGGTTTCCGAAATATACAGATATATGTTCCTCCTGTGCAAGGGAGATGTGTTCACAAACAATCACAAACACCATGCTATGCCATGTTTCTTTGTTGGACGTTGGATCAAGTCGCCGAATGATGGACATGACTCATGACCTCCACCAACAAAGTAGTACACTCCCTGAAATCCTCATGGCAGTGGACAAATACCACCTGCTGGGTCTTCGGATTTGTGGCAGAACATTTGTATCAGTTGGAAGATCCAGATATATACCCACATACGGTGTACACCCTTAAATTCCGCCATATGAATCCCCTTCCCAACGTCTCCATCCATGGTGCACCTCCAAAACAGCTGCTCCGGCCAGGCACGCTCTATGGGCAGCATGGCGAGGCCACCGTGGACGTGGGCCACGGCACCTACGAGAGCAGCGACTTTCATCACAACGGGGACCTCCAGGACCGAACGAACTCGGACCGGTGGACCGGTCCAAACCGGAAGGGGCGAAGCGCCAGGTTTGGTCATGTAGACTCTTGGAAACATAGACCCTCCAATATGAAGAGGCTGTTCAATTCAAAATGGGGGGGAGGTTATGAAATCAAGAGTCCACATGATGTGGGTCTGTAGATCCCCATAAGAAAAGAGGTCACTGACGGGTCAGGTGGTGCAAGGCGTGAGTCTACATGATACATTCTGTTCATTCAGTTCACCATGTCTGGTCAACCAACGTCCCCTGGTTGACAGCCATATGACGGTGTCAGCCTGAACGGCAGACACCAACACGACCACGGAGTCCACCAACGGTGTTTGACACGAATGAGCTGTTTGGGGGGGTGGATGTGTGTTGAATATTCAGTGGTCGATTGAATATTGTATGATCATGTGTACGATATACTGAACAATTTATTGGAGATTGGTAGTGCATGGTAGTACCCTTTTCAATTTGCACTCTTGTCAATTGGGGTGATTGAAAAGGGTGAAGGCTAAGGTCGACATGCCAGTCGCGTGGAGTGTTTGGGACTGAGGCGCCGCTTTGTGGTGGCGAATTCGTTCATCATTGGGTGAACACCTGGAGCCTCAAACCGCGGTAGGTTGACCAGGTCTATTTTGGGTGGTCGTCTGTCTCCAAGCAGTGTGGTCACACTAGGTTTTTTTTTTTAACGGTAAGTCTTAAGGGCCGGTGTCTAATCGAGGTGTCGCGCGGTCAGGGACGGCTAGTTCGTTGCTATATTTACAGTGCATTCATGCCTCTCGAAATCCTCGAAGTGCATTTCGACTGCGCAGGCTTCGCGAAATCTGGTTGGCCGCGGCGGGTGCTCGTCGCGACTGCGTAGTGGTGGCGTGCACCTTTTTTTGGCATGGTGGTCACTTTTCGTGGCAGGCAGGGGAAACCTTGTGCTTTGGTGGTCCAAAGTCGACTTTAATTTACGTGACAAGTTGGCAGGGCTGCGCCATGTGAATCTTGAAGTGCAGATTTCGTGGCAGGGGCAGCACTTTGTCAACCTCGAAGTGCAAACTCCCTGGCACGCGCAGCACTTTGTGAACCTTGAAGTGTAGATTTCGTGGCAGGCGCAGCACTTTGTGTGCAGATTTCGTGGCAGGCGCAGCAGTCTGTGCTTTCTGAGGCGTGCTCTCAGATGCTCACTCTCTCTAAATCTCACACTCACTCTCTCTCTCTCACTCTCTCACTCTCTCACTCCCTCTCACTCTCTCACTCTCACTCTCACTCTCTCACTCTCACTCTCATTCTCACTCTCACTTCACTCACAATCACACTCACGCTCACTCTCGCTCTCACTGACACTCACTCTCACTCACAGTCACATTGACACTCGGTCACACTCACACTCACCAAACTTTGCATTCTCTTTCATGGAGACAAAACAACAGTCTTTAGCATCATTATCCTCTTGAAATTGTGGCAACACACCCGGAACAGCATTGACAAGGACGTCCGCAATTCCAATGCCTTAGGCGGCGTGGGAGCTACGCCGCCGGTCGAAGAAGGAGACGGAGGAGATCGGCTTCGGAGTACGGCAGGCGATGGACGTTGAAACTCGTCTTCGTCTCCTGGAAGCGGAAGTCCTTCAGCCAAGCAACCAGCATCGGCGGGAAGGCACCCAAAAGTTGCAAGAAGCGGTCGACTTGCTGGAGGAGTTTCTTGGTCGAGGTGACTGGCACGGAACAGAGGATGCCTTTCGCTGAAAAGGCCAACCAGTTTTCCCTCTGGCGATCCCCTATCCAGAGGCGTAGCTGGAGGACTGGCACCACTACGATGTCCCCTCCAAGAACTGCATCCACTTTGCAGCGCGCCTGGCAAGATTTATCAGTTCGTATTTGATATCACGCTATCACACCTTGCTGGAACCAGGCAAATTCTTGCGTTTGGCCTGGCTTGCAAATACGGCCCAGTGTTGGTGGTGAAAAGGAACTGGAAGCCTGACAGTGCGGAGAGCGCCAGGAAAAAGATGATTAATGTGTTGGTGATGTTGGGGAAGGTTGCCGTAGGTTACAACAGTCTGCCTTGGCAAGAAGCCATGGAAGGGTTGACAACACACACTAGGTACTCGTGGGGTGATGAGAATGCTTTGCGAGAAGAGCACGACGAGTCGTGTCCTGGTGTGGTTGAAGGCACGAAGTTCATTTGCGCAGAGAGAAGGATATTAGTAGAGATTTGCTCATTGGTTGTGCCGAGTTTGCAGGCAATGACCGCAGGACATCTTTGCATTCTGTATTTGCCAGCGCTGATTCCCAAGAGATCAAAAAACAATCAAAATATAAGCGTGTCAAGGTGGGCCGTTTGCCATATATACTACCCAGGAGTGCGAGTATCGTTGATTTCGCTGAGGCTGATGGCAGGTATCAGCAAACACTTTCACTTTCGACAAGAGGCCCTAGAAAACATTGCTAATGGTTGGTCGCTGGCCTTGAATGGCGCTGGTCTGTTTTGCAGAGAACATTTGGTGCTAGCCATGGTTACTTGTCACTCAATAGGTGTTTGCTTGGGCGAACTGCTGATCTCCCGCATGCAAGCACAGCTGCGGAATGACATTTGATTAGTTTAATAAAAAGAATTTCATTGGAAAGAGCCTGTTTTCTAAATTTTAGAAAAAGTCAACAAAATCAATCCCAAAAGTCAAAGTCAAAAAATATCAAATCATAAAATTTCAGAAAGTCAAAAAAGAGTCAATTTGCCCAGATCCGACCTTTTTTGAAATTCTTGTGATATTTTTTTTGACTGTTGTTGATTTGTTTCGATTTTTTGACTTTTTTGACATGTTTTTCAACTGTTTGTTTTTATTGTGTTTGACCTTTTTTGACATTTGTGTTTTGTGTTTTTTTGATGTTTTTGTTTTTTGCCGTTTTTTTGTTCTTTTTGATGTTTTTCGAGCTGTGGTCTATGGTTGACTTGTTTTGACTTTTTTGATTGTTTTTCGACTTTTTGTTGATTTTTTTTGACTTTTTCGAGCTGTGGTCTATGGTTCATTTTTTATTTTCAATTTGCTGTTTTTTTTACTTTGACTTTTCCAGTTGATTTGTTTGGATGCTTTTTTTAATCACGGATTCTGGCCTTACCATATGAACATTTTTTATACGATTAGTTGGCTACCATACCAGAAAACTTGTGAAACTGGTGACAGATCCTATCCTGTCAATCCATGAGTGGAATACGTGCTTGCATGTGCCTACTGTTTTGTAGGGTCAAACATTGCAGTTCGCCAAAATCCCATAAAGCACCTTGTGCATGTGCAAAACCTGCTATATATGTCCCGGTGGTTTGGAGCTCAACAGCTGAGGGGAGCCCAGAAGGATCAAAAGTGGACAAAGGTGAGTTGGTGGCTCACTGTCTTTACTTGGCCACAGAAAAACTATCATTATATCATTGTCATTCTCTATTCTTGGCGCTAGCCTCGAAACGAAAGGAGGAGGTGCTTGTCATATGCTTGTCTGATGTCAACCAAACCCATGGTTTGGTGAGGCGTGACACATTTTGACTATGTTTGTCACGCGTCATATCTACAAACGGTTTGGATGATTTGAAAAAATCCCTCTCCATCAGGACTATTATGATCCCTTCCAGATCCACTACGGTTTCCTGGCCTGGGCACGGTGCTGATGCGGTGGAGACAGAGCTGGAAAAGGTTAGGAACATGTTTCGGACCTCAAGTATTTGTTTGTGAAAATTTTCTGGAATCAAAATGACTACAGAGTCCAGAGGCGATTGCAGACGCTTTCCTTCATGGTTCTCCAGTATGTGTTGTTTGACAGCCCTCCGGATGTGGATAAAGCGGCTGCTCACGCAGTGAATGAATGCCAACAAAAATCGACATGGAAGTTCAAGTAAGGTTTCTAAGACAGGTTGAGAGACCTGAAGTAGGACCCTACAGTGGTACATATGGGATAGGCGAAAAAGGGCTGTTCAGCCTTTCTGGGTTTTGTGTTTGTTAAACCTCCACGTAAAGCCCTTAGGCGCACTTGATGATTTCTGACTCAAGCGTTTCAAACTCCCAGTGGGGGGGATGGAAACCCGCATGTTCACCAATCCCTATTGGGTCCTCCCGGCCCTGCTCAAGCTCTTCTAAAGCGTTACAAACCAGAATGCGAAGCAGTCTGTTTGAGAAACAAGGTGTCGAAAGGATCGGAGGATGCATGTGCAGAGGGAGTCCAACAAGTGGTGTCCCTCGGCGGTGGAAAAAACCGTGGCACTCATGACATCCACGGCTTGAGCCCGACCACGTTCGGAAGCACCCATGTCATAGAAGACGAACACCAACAGTCACCCAAAAGGACAATTCTTTTAACCCCTTAAATCCAGGGTGACCCAAGGGAACCCAAAACCATCACCCAGGGTCACCCAACATGAGAACGACCAACGAACGACGTCCAACGCACGCACCGCACTGCACGCGCGTGACCGTCCCGTCTCCGTACCGTCTCCGAACACCGACCGACCGAGGGAAGCTCTACGGGACCATGGACGATTTGCGCCTGGAGCACCGGCGCGTCCAACAGAAATACCTCGCCCGGGCCCTCGGAGAGCCGCGGGAAACGCTCGGCCTCCGCCGATCCGCCCGCCGAGCGAGGGGAACGGCGCGAGGGAAACGGCGCGATGGAACAGTGTGAAGTAGGTGGAGAATGGACCTATATAGCAAAGCTTGAAGAGCCCTTTCTCGCCTAGCCCATCCGGGTCCCATCCCTGTACCACTGTAGGGTCCCATCAACCTTTTTTGGAGGTCTGAGATGTTTCACAGTTTGGGTGCCAGTTTTGCTGGGGGATGTTGGGAAGCTTGGTGAGAAGGTGGTTTTGACTCACAACTGGTGAGAAGAGGAGAAAGTGGTTGGAGGAAGAGGCAGAATCATGAATCGAACCAGTGTCACGGTGGACTCTTCCATGCACACACACACACACAAGTGACTCATAGAGAAGCGGCTGAATTCGTGAAATCAGAGCGTTTGATCCGGAGGGAACTGAAGATGTGGGTGATTCTTCTGCAAGACACACATGAGCTGCAGCTGTCGCTGGTGGTGCAGATCTTTGGTTTTTTCTGCTGCAGGGTTCCACCTGTACCGTTGGTCGTCCGCTGCGTCTCGTATCTCGTCGGTCATCGAGGCCATGAGCAACGCGTTGATCTCCAGTTGCGACGTGGATGGCTTTCGCGTGGACACGCCCATGTCGCCTGGAGCCAAAAAACCGTGATCGTCTTCTGTCTTAATCAATTCCCAAACACTCTATGGGACTGCCAGGACGGACTGCCGCCCCAGACTGACCCCCTGGCACCACCCCTGGCCGTTTTGAAGGCAGTCCGGACTCGCAGTCCCATGGAGCCTCTGGGATTCGTTTGTGGCTTCATCGATCGCCGTGTTTGCTGTATTCATCTATATAGCCGTCTTTTGCCTGGAAGTATCTCGTTTTAGTTAGCTCCAACTTGTTTGGGCGGCACGAAAACAAAGGAGAGAGCTGCTATTCTTTTGAATGGTGGGGTGGCTTAGGGCAAGTGTTCAGGCCTTTTACATTACTTGGCTAGTTAGGATTCAATTCTGCCCAGTCGGAGATGTTTCAAAATCCGCTTGGACCCAGACTGAGGGGGTACTGAACTCCAAGAAACAAAACATATATTTATTTTGAATGTTGAAACCAGAAAGATTTGCACTTTTGAAGTCAAATGTTAACATTGAACACTCCGGCTTGCTGGTGCTTTTGTTCATCGTTTGCGGGCCAATGGGCCTCTGAGAAGTCAGTCCAATTAGACTCTGGTTGTCACGTATGAGTTAATGGCTTCTTCTACATCGACCTGTATGGCTTCGGTGTATACTCTGTGCACTCTGGTGTTTGGGTCCATTCTGTTGGTATCTATTTGTATTTGTTTCCACGAAGAATCCAGATCTTCCGCAAACAACGCATCGTTTGTCGGCCAGTCGCGGTCAAGATTTGGTGTGCATGGTGCCTCGCACGCGGTGGGTCACACGGTTATCACGTATGCGGTGGGTCATGCTGAGCATCCTGGGGTGTCCATATGGGCTCCTTGATGCTTTCCAGTAACGATCAAATCCTTGTGTTGGCTACAAGGATTAGAGGCCCAGCACGAGGTGCTGCACGATGATCAGCATGAATGTTGGATGGGATGACCAGTGCTTCTTGTTTTTTGTTGGGAAACTCGTGGAAAATCCGTCTTGTTGTTTGGCAGATGAGTGTTTCTCTAAATGGTTCTCTAGATCTGCCAGTGCTTTGTTTCGAGGCCTCAAACAAGTACGTATGTGTCTATGTTCAAAAAAAGCATATTGATTGCATTCAAAACAAGGGTGTCCGTCTTTGATCTAGTAGCAAACAAACAATGTCAACACTTCAATGTCATTGATTAAGGCTTTTCGGGGGGCAGCTCATGAACCGCTCTTGTCTCACCAGGGAGACCTAAGCCCGGTCGTCGGTTGGACCCCACGTCCCAAGGAAGACCCGGGGGGGAGGGAGGAGTGTTGAACGATCTGCTGGCGGAAGTACTTGACGTATCTTGACATGGGGCGCAGCGCCACAACCCCCCCAATCCAAGCTTGTCAGCCGATGAAACACTTATACTCACCTGTTCCCCCCAGGTGCATCAGCCACAGCAGAAACCACTTCAGAAACTCGCCCCGGATCGCGCAGGCAAGTGCCATTGGTCTTCTACAAGGCTTGGGTGCCTGCTGTGAAGCTTCGGTGGCAAGAAGACGGTCGGCCCCTCAAAGGACCCCGGCGGACAAGGACCCCGGCTGGGCATCCTCAGGTTCAGTGGTTGGGGGTGGTGCCAGGGGGTTCCATCCAGGGGGTCCAACTACCTTCTTTTGAAGATGGTGGGCCAGGAGCCCAAATAGGTATAGCTACTTTGGGTAAAATCTTTCAAGGACTCGATGTAATTTCAATGCATGTATACTATTTCAGATAATGGGATCTGTTTTATCCTCAGGGGGTTGAGGGGGGGTTCCTTCTAAGATAACTCATATTGATTTCAGTCCCAGTCCCATGCGACGGGGTTTCTTTGGGTTCTTCACTTCGTGGAGCCGCCGCCCGTGACGCCTGGCTGACCATGCCGAAACCATTCATTGACCTTACCTGGCAATCCACTCATATGTGTTTAACGAAACGGCTGCAGGACGGCGGTATCGATTTCCGGATGGTCGCAGGATCTGGTTGATGTGAAAACCCAGACTCCATGTACCAGCACCCTCCAACAGGTCTTCTAAAGAGAGTTGTTAGGCCTAAGAGGTCTCAATTGGTGACCTGTTGGAGGGTGCTGGTATATGGAATATATTGGACCATATCTGCCTACATTGACCCCTTTTCACCAGTCCCATTAATTCGTCGTGTTTGGGTTGTCGGCACTCGGGATGGGACGGGTTGGAGGCACCGACTAGCAGGTCCCATCCGATAGACCAGTGATTCATCCGACGGATAGCACAGGGATAGTTGCTTGGTATCTGGTGCTGCCAAACTCAATGGAAATGAGGACCTCACATCTGGATCGTGGGCCTAACGACGAAAAGGGCTGTCCATCCGCGGCATTTGACAGCAGATTTGGTGGAACAGCATGGATCGGAGGAAGCAAGTGATCGAGGAGTGTCGAGTTCAAATCATTCCATAGGTCCTGGCCCCCAGCCGTCCACAATATGAATTAGAGGTGTGTGTCATTTCCCGTTCCACTGCCCAAGTGACTTGCTGTCTGACAGCCCAGGACCAACCCAAAAGCACGAACCATTCAAGGTGTGAGCCACCAAAAGCCAGATGTTCAGATAGGACATGGGGCAAAACCAGGTACCTGGATACTTTGAAGGGAGTCTTAAGAAGCCATCGAACTTCGCATCAAAGAATAACCTTGCCGACCATCGCTATAGTCATTCAACTGTTTCACGGATCGAAGCCAGCCAGTAGAACCCATGGTGCCCTGGGCGGCTGGACTCCGCGTGGCTGTGCCCAATGTGGCCGGAGTGGTGCAATGGTTTGTGAAGAACCTGAGCATCAGCATGTGGAGGCTCAGCACAACTAGATAGCGCTCAGAGCTCGCTAGGCGCCCATGCAGAGGTGGGTGATGGCCCCACTAAGCTCCACTCAAGAGCTCAGCTGGGCGCCCATGCGGAGGAGTTTTCTGAGGTGGCTTCTGTGGCACCGACAAAGGGTGTTTGAGAAGTCTTCCCAAGCGCCCAAGTCTTCCATGAAAAGCATTGGACGCATTCCGAAAAGATGTCAACGAAGGCCGACAGATTTGGGGGCAAAGACATCTCAAGTGCCCTGGTTCTTCAAAGTGCTCCTTGAAGACCCCTAAAAGGTCAACTGGTTGGCCCTTTTTTTCCATTTTTGCCACCAGTCATGACCCCTCACGTTCGCGAAAAGGAACCTGAAGAAGCTGCAGTTCGGTCACGGAACCCTCACGTTGTTCTTCACGGGACGAGCTCTTTTTCCCATCGCCAGACACGACTAATGGGACTGGCAGGACTGGCACATGGGACCATCGAAACCACCTTCAGGCCATTCAACCGGCCATCCTTCAGCCTTTTTGGTCTCTCTTTGGTCGTCCTGAGGAATGAGTGTCGATGGGATTTGGCGTGCCGATCGCAGAGCTTTCCATCGTTACTGGCCACGCCGCCGCTGCAATTCCTTCCAAAGTTGTCGGATGTGGTGGAGTTCTCCCAGGAGCCCACGCAGAGGCTGCATTTTTGGGGCTCCATCCTTTTGCTGCTTGGAGGGAAACTCATAGTATCTATACTATGTCATAGATCATGGCCATTTCTCACAGAGTCCGTGAAGGGCTACAACGCTGACCTCTCAAGATAGATATTCAGACTCCGACGTAAAGAAAGGCCACGGTTCCATTGAGCAGATTATTCATGTATTGGGTACTATTCTTGGCGTCTTTGCATTGGTGACTTTTTCATTTGGGGTACAACTGGTTACTTCGATCGGTCGAGTAATCCACTCAGTCCACGTCTCACTGGACTCGAGAGTGCGCGTGATCGTATTGGGTACTATTTATGCAGGAGATGGGCCAAAGAACTTATTTCGACGGTCCTCCCTATTGTTCATCACACGTGTGTGCGTGTTTGTGTGCCCTATGTGTGAGATATAGGGTGTTCCTCCAACCAAGGTAGACACCAGATATATAGTATATAGACTCCAGCACCTTCAAAGTGACCCTTTGATATCCCCGGATGAGGTCACTTAGGTTTGTACAAGGTCACTTATATAGAGACTCCATGAGGTCACGAACGGCTCAGGTCCTGGTATAGACTGGTCTATCTTCCATCCAGTGGGTCCAAGAAGGGGGGTCGTTTTGAGAGTTCTTACACCCTCCTGCCTGGAACCTGTGCATCACAGGGAGGGCAGGGGCACCGAACTGTGAGGTGAAGTCAGAGATGCTGAACGTGTTGAGAAGTGAATGAGAAACGCACCTGGTTCTTCCAAGTGACCCAGCTTCTTCAATCCTAGATGGTTAAGAGCCACTTAAGCCTTCAAAGAAGGGTCACTGGCTGGGGCCCACGAACTGAAGCAGCTGGTAGATCAGATCTCCGAACCACTATAACTACCAGCTCTGTGGTGAACTACCAGTTCACTGTGTACTACCAGCTGCTGTTACTACTGAATGACTATAAAATCATTACTGTAACTGTAGTGAACTCTGCCGTGCCGCTCGCAGCGTTTCGAAAAGCGTTTCTGCTGAGCGGTGAAGAAGCCCACACCATCGAACCGGGTACGCCGGTGCATCCAACCAAGGGTGCACAACCGGGTGCACGTCGACTATTCTGTATTACCCAGACACGGCACATGGGACTCGCATTTGTATTGCCGATCAGTTGGATTGCATATGGAGTTACATGGAGCGTACATTCTTTTTTAGGAGATTCCCAAGCAGGACCGTCTCGTTCGAGCGTCTGAGCCTCCGAGCGCTGCCAAACCGCGAACCCGCGCGAACCCGCGGAGCGCGGTCGCCGGGCTCCGAGGTGGTCACCTTTTCTGATGGCTTTCCTTTGCGAAGCCATGCGCCTCATCGTCGGATCGCTGAAACCCAAGACGTCGATCGACTCGACTCTACGCTATGGCAGGCGGGCAGTCGACCGACAGCTCGATCCCGTCGGCGAATGGCCAGGCCTTGGCCTTCTAGAGGGTTGATCAACAAAGCTTGGTATTTGGTATTTGGGCACCCTTTTTTGAGAGGATTCGAGATGGAACTGTGCGGATCTCAGATCCTCTCGTTCATGTTTGCCAAGCCTCTCGACGACCATGGCACTGTGGTTCCTATACAGTGGTTGAATGAGGTGAGAAATGGCACAGACCTCGAGATGTCCTAGAGGGATGGGGGTCCATAATTGCACCACCTCCTATACTTAGGATAACCTGTGCCATCTACTCTCAATCCACTAAGACCATTTGCAAGTATTCATCGCCTTTGGGGTCCATCCAAGAAGTTGAAGATCTCAGGTGATGGCCTCCTGAGGTGCCGAAAGAGGTGATCTACCCACGTTTTCTGGTGAAAAATATAAACATGTGTTCATTTTGCATGCAGGCGCTCCATTGGACTGCAGCATATGACCCTGCCAATATAAATGGGTGGTTTTGGGTGGTGGTTTTGTACTGTAGGTGAACTGTAGGTAGTACTGTGCTGTAGGTCTGTATGTAGATCATATTTAATGTAGTAGCATGTAGGTCATATTTGCCCACATGGAGCGCGTTCGGTGCAAATATGACCTCCTCCGACCCCTTGGACGAGTGTGTGTGTGTGTGAGCAGCGGAGGGTACCTGTTCGGCCCAAACCTCCCGTTTGCCAGGCACGGTTCCCTGTCAGATCGCTCGCAAAAATGAGTCTTTTTGCTTCATCCGCCCGATTGGGCACCATTTACGCTACTATTTTACTACTAATCACGAATCACTAATCCATCTATAAGCTTACAAGTGATTCGCATGGTCTTTATATCCATCTATGTCTCAGACCTTGTCGGCCGTGGTGAAACACACCATGTCGCACGATCCTCGCGGATCGTTCACCGGTTCGATCCATCGGATCGGAGGCTGCAGGATCTGGAGACCAATGACCCAGATGCTGAGACGCCACGACATACGCCGAGCAAAGTGCAAGCCAATGGCTTTGGCCAGAGCATTTGCTTTACCTTGGCTTTGGCCCCTCGATTTTCGGAAGAGTTCTCCAGAGGTAGCCGCCAGTGACCAGGACGATAGGACCCGGAAGACCTGGGGTACCGAACTGGGATAGTCTAAAGGGTTCTTCAACCTCTGTTGGTTTTTTTTTTGGCTGCAAAGCGATGGATTACCTATACTAAAAGATACTAAAAGTGAAAGTGTGTGTGATTGTCAGACCCGCTATCATGTGTTTGAAGCAGGCCTTGAGCTTTTGCAAGGTTCTTTACCACATCGTTTGTGCTGGTATTGTGGCTATGGCCATTCTTTATGGCTGGCTCTCCCCTGATGGGGGGGGCCTCTCTTGGGAGCTTTGGGCCTTATGGCAACAGCTGTGCCCAAGCATTTGCGCGGTACTGTACACTTTTAGCTTTGTCCCACACACTCTTTTGGATACATGATTGTTTCTGGACGTTTATTCGTTAGTTTGTTGATTGTTTCTGTGGCGCACAATAGATAGGAAGGACCGACTGGATCTTTACTTTAGAGGATTCGCACATAACATAACGTGGATTGCCTATGTGTCTTGCCTTTGGCATGGCCATCAAAAACAATAAATGCACGAAACTCGCCAGGTGCCTTTGGACGTTATTTCTGCAGAATGTGGTGAGATGTGCAACTCTAGAGACTTGGTCTGTCTACAGAAGGGTTTTTACATCGAAGAGATGTTCGATTGGGTGTGTTCCCATGACCAGTACTGTTTTTTTTGCAGTGGGTCAACAATGATCGCATAGGATCAGGTGGAAAGGTTTTTTTGTACGAATCTATCCACTATCCAAAACCTCCCAAGATACATCCACATACGGAGCGTCTTTTGGATGCTTTGAGACTGAATGCTGCCAGCTGAAGGTTGGGGGGATTGCTTCTTGTTGCAGCATGTGAAGTGAGCAATGTCTTTGTCAGAAAAACCCAGCGTTGTTTCTGTTACAGCTTTGAAGTGTAGCTGATTGCTTTTTGTGCAAATGAACCAATGTCTTTGAGTAGCCAACCAGTCATACGTTCATTGTTTTTTATTGTAGCCTTTGTTGGTCGCGGTAGCGCTGCTGTTGGTGAGAAAAGGCACTGGAAGGGTATAGGCTATAGCTCTTTTGGTTGGGTCCTAAGACTTGCCCCCCCAATGACTTCCCAAGGACCGGGAGGCCTTAGCAGCTCCGACCACGAAGACGGTGCTTCTCTACACCGTGCCGTTCTTGAGCGAGTTGGCGGACACCATGAAGGATTGGGTGGTGACCGGCATTTGCTTCCTCCACGCCGCTGGGACTTCCATGAGCTCAGTGCTCGCGGCGCTCGGCGCGCGCTCGGAGGGAGCTCGGGACCGACTTGACACGGACGACGGTTCTCGAAAATGTGGGAATGGAGAGCCGCTGGTTGGGTGTTAACGGAGGTAGGGCGGCTCGAAAGGTCCAAGATGTTGACCTCATCAAACCCAGACACGACCTGTTTGGGACTGCCAGGACGGACTGCCGCCCCAGACAGACCCCCCTGGCACCACCCCTGGCCTGATCGGCATTACGGCATACATGGAGTGTTTGGGAATGGGTCACTTTGAAGGTCCTGGGATGTTCCATGCATTTTTGTGGTTAAAATCTCCTGACTGGTGCGGCGAAAGTAGGGAATAAGGGAAGGTTCGTCCCCAATGGAGATTCTATTGGATCCAGCCACCCTCAGCCACCCTGCTTTCGTCGCACCAGTCAGTCTCTGCGCGCTCCAACCATTCGAAGAACGAACGTCGCCCCTTCGGCGAGGCTGGAGCGGTGCCTGTTCGACTTCTCCGATCAGGTTTCGCGGTGGGCGCGGCTGTGGTCTTGCTGGAACTCTGCGGCACGATGCTGGGGGTGATACCTCCCTTCATCCAAATCTCAAAGGGTGTAAAGGGCTTAAGCATAAGCCCTCCCTTGATACTTCTGCAGGTGCATGTGTTTTTTTTGCTTTTGCCAAGTCAAGACTCCGGCTTTTTGGTGGTGTTGTTGGTGAGATTAGTTACTGATTTTTGCGGGGCCTCTGGTTTAAACCAGAAATCAAGTGGAAGCAACGAAACCCATTGGGAGTTCAATCTTGACACTATCACAGCGATCAATTGGATTCAATTGGCAAAGCTGCTACGCTTGGTTTCCATGCCTTATGAGAGAATCTGCTGCGTCCTTCCCAAAGTGATGTTCTTAGATTCCTTCAACCCTCACCCAAAAGCAGGTGGTGTGCGCCACATGTGGTTTGCAATGGGCAGTGGCTTCTTGCAATAGCGGCAGATTTTCCTACTGCCGTGACTCCAGATTTGCTGGATATCTGGGATTGCTGCTTTTCCTCACCTTCCTTGCATGGATACTTGCGAGATGTACAGGCACCTCAGGCACCTGACCGCAAAAGATGAGAGTTTCTTGTTTCGGCGCTAAACGTCCGAATGAGCTGCACATCTTTTTTGCCCGCAGAAGTCAACACTCGCGTTTTTGCTTTCCCTCAACCTCTACCTGCGCCCCCCTCAGAAGCTTGTTAGATAAACCCTGCCAAGAATTTCCCAGTCTCCCAAAAAGGAAAGAGAGAGGGTGTGCTGAAGAGAAAGCATGTAAAGAATAATCACTGTAAATTAGTCGGTTTGATGAGTGTACACTTCCTGAAATATATGGAAGTGGCTGGCTTGGCCATGTTAGTGGCTCGGAGTGTAATCAATTCCTCTCTCTAGAGCACCCCCATACCCTAGGGATCCAAGTACCTTGTCAGAAGCTGATGTGTTCGACACTGTTATGTAGATGCCATTGTCGGATCCAGTCATACCGAACCTGAGGTTCGGAACGAAAACGGATCGGAATATCGAAGCACATGAAGAAGCCGCCGTGTCGCGCGTTCTCGCACGTTCCCCGCCCAGGTCACCAACCTGAGGAGGAGCTTGAAGAGGACTGGCGCGATTCGCCCAGAGGCGCCTTGTTTTCGAAGAAATGATCCCGGCAAGAGACCCCAAACCGTGTGTTTACCCTGATTAGACACCCGGCCTTAACACCTACCGCAAGCACCCCTAGGCCCCTAGTGTTACCACACGGTTTTTAGAAGAACATGTTTCAGAACGAGTACATGTTCTAAACATGTGAGATATGCGCAGATATTAGTCTCCAAGTATTGGTCATAGAGAGAGTGCCACAGATCGTTCATTGTTTGTATCACCATATAGTGATCCCCAAAGTGATAGTGGCGCAGTGTTCAATACTATTTTTAGTGGGGATCTACTTTTCTATCTATTTGGGAGTCTAAATATGAATGGGTTCTGCTGCGGTTCTTGTTTGTTCATTCCTTGTTGCCATGCTTTTTGGACCAAAACTGCGTGACAGTCATCTTCCAGGTCGCCCCCCTTCGGACGACGTGGAGTGGGCGCCTGCCGCGGAGTCGTCGCCCTGGAGACGTCCTCGAGTGGGAACGCTGTTCATTCCGAAGGATGGACAGGCAGACGGATTCTCGGGAGAAGGAATTACAGTGAGGCTCATCTAGCTTGAAGGTGTCTTCCAAATAGCAAGTGGGTGTTTGATTTGGAATAGAACCTTGTTGTCAAGTTTCTTGCTGGCTCCGTGAGAAATGGCACAGACCTCAAGATGTCCTGAACACATGGGGGTGAAATATAAACCACCGACATTGGGGTGTGCCATCTACTCTCAATCCACTATATGTGCGATGACAAATTGTTTGGTCCTTCAAACACACACACTTAGGATATTGTGTACTGAACTGAATGCGGTGCCACACGCCGGCCTAGGGTTCCATTTCCTAAGAGTATCAGTAGGAAACCATCGAATCCTGGAATTCTTAAAAGGAAAGGAGCCCCAAAGCGCAAGATCGAGGTCGGCCATCAGGTCGAAGTGACGACGTGTCGTGCATGTCTGCAGTTTGAGGTTCTGGGCTTAGCCTCGTGCCATTCCGTGTGAAAAGGCAGGTACGTGAGTCAGGCGTCCCTGACTCATATCACAGGAAGTCCATGGTGTCTTCGTTGGATGCCGACCATGGAAATCCCCGGCATCCCCCTGCTGTGGTAAGAACTAAAGATTACAGCTGAAAAATCCGAAAGGATCCCTATGATTCCAAGGGTTACACACACACGCCTCCCCGAAGGGAGGCATGTGTGACCTCCATCCTGCCCGGAAAGGAGGTAGGCACATGTGCACGCAAAAGGGACAGATGAAAATGAGAAGGACAAGACAAACCAAGGTGTGTGTGGTTGCCGATGAAAAGGAACCAAGTGAAGAGGGACAACCGATGAGCCAAACCTCATTGTAACGAACCTGGGCCACCAAAACCTCGTTGTAAGTAGAGTACGCGTGCGTGTATGTGTACAAACTAAGGTCCGGACGATAGTGCGCGCAAGAGAAAGAAAGGATGAGGATGAAGAGACATGAAGACAGAAGGACATGAAAGGAAAGAAGGAAAAAAGGCAGTGGGGGCGGATGAAAGGGGAACCAAATGAAAGGGGGCAAACCGATGACAGTCCAAACCTCATTGAGAAACCTGTTGCAGAAGCCTAGTTTGCTTGTAAATACGCCACGCGCGAGGAAAGAGGGGGGAGGGGAGGAGGAAAAGAGAAGGAGGGAGAGAGGGAAGCAAAGGTGTTCCCAGCTACGGCACAAGCGTCCAAGGACACACCAAAAAGGAAGGGCTCCCAGCTATGACGAAAGCATCCAGGGACGCCCAAGGAAGAAAGAGGGTGAAGAGAGGAAAAAAAAAAACTAGACGACGAGTGGCCCGAAAGCATTTTTCATCACGTAGGAAGTCAGAGTGTGAGTTATCTGTTAAGTGATCAGTGTGAAGTGTTAAGTCGTGTGTTTATCTGTGTCTGTGTGTGTATGAGTCTCTGTCTGTGTGTGTCTCCGAGTAAGTTGAGGCAGTGCGTGGGTCTCTGTGTGTGTGTGTCAACCTCTCAAGAGAGCCGGGTGGTCGGGAGACATGACTCAGCTGCAGGGGCGCCAGAGCAGCTGCGAGAGATGACTCAGCCGCGAGAGATGACTCATCCGCGTACTAAAGTTGTACTGCAAAGTCGCCAGTTCTCAGCTTCCAGCTCCACAGATTGCTCCGCGTACTAAAGTTGTACTACAAAGTCGCCAGTTCTCATCTTCCAGCTCCCCAGATACTCCGTTGCACTACAAAGTCGCCAGTTCTCATCTTCCAGCTCCCCAGATACTCCGCGTACTAAAGTTGTACTACAAAGTCGCCAGTTCTCATCTTCCAGCTCTCCAGATACTACGCGTACTAAAGTTGTACTACAAAGTCGCCAGTTCTCAGCTTCCAGCTCCACAGATTGCTCCACGTACTACAGTTGTACTACAAAGTCGCCAGTTCTCATCTTCCAGCTCCCCAGATACTCCGCGTACTAAAGTTGTACTACAAAGTCGCCAGTTCCCAGCTTCCAGCTCCACAGATTGCTCCGCGTACTAAAGTTGCACTAGAAAGTTGCCAGTTCTCATCTTCCAGCTCCCCAGAGACTCCGCGTGCTCAAGTTGTACTACAAAGTCGCCAGTTCCCAGCTTCCAGCTCCACAGATTGCTCCGCGTACTAAAGTTGTACTACAAAGTCGCCAGTTCTCATCTTCCAGCTCCCCAGATACTCCGCGTACTAAAGTTGTACTACAAAGTCGCCAGTTCTCATCTTCCAGCTCCCCAGATACTCCGCGTACTAAAGTTGTACTACAAAGTCGCCAGTTCTCAGCTTCCAGCTCCACAGATTGCTTCGTGTACTAAAGTTGTACTACAAAGTCGCCAGTTCTCATCTTCCAGCTCCCCATACCTAGATCTTCAGTCCGGCACTTTTACAGGGTCCGGCGCCGGACTTCCAACTCCGGCGTTTTTCTGGATTTGGTCCGGCAGTTTTTCCAAGTCACTTGAAATGTGGATTCTCAAGGCTTTGCATTCTTTGTGGCTTGCATTTCTTTGAAGGTAATGATTTGCTTGCAAAGTGTGCTCGTTTGCCTGTTCCGCTGTTTTCTCATTCCACCGGTTTCAGCATGGTTCACACTGGATCAATCAGATCCGTTTAGGTGATCTTCTACTTGAAATCGGATGAAATTGGTACAGTGCGATGCACGTGTTGAAAGACCCAAGTGGGTGTACCTAAGCTGAAAGAACATAGGCAAAGATGTACTCCCATTGTTTCAGGATGTCGGGGCGCTGGGATATAATTAGTTCTAGTTGCGCAGGTTTGCAGAGCCTGCCGGACAAGTTTTGGGCTGTGGAACATGTGTTGTTCAGAATCTCAATGTTTTGCAGAGAGTTGCTAAGAAAAATTGCACGTCGTAACTCCGGCGTAATTTCCCGTAACTCCGGCGTAATTTCCCGTAACTCCGGCGTAATTCCCCGTAACTCCGGCGTATTTTTTTGGACTCAGTCTTTTGAATTTTGAAAAGTTTTTCAACTAAGAGTTTCGACAGGAACCATGAGTGCTGCTACTTTATTGGCCGTCCTGAGGAAAGCTTAAAAAACAATTTAAACCCATATAAGAATCATGGAGAGCCACTTTGTAAAAAAAACAATTAGAGACACGGGTGCAGAGAAATAGGGGTTCCTTGCCACATACTCCTTGGTTTCTTCTTGGAAGTCTTTGCTTGGGCACAAGTTTGCTTATATTTTGTGATGGTTCTGCTCTTAGGCCATTCGGAAGATGGGCAAGGGCAATGGGAACGGGAAGGCTCCAGTGCTGGGTTGTGGAATGAGTGTGTTCCAGAAAAAAATACCGTGGCGCAAAGGCAGTTTGCTTGTGTATGATCCAGCCTTTTATCATCTCTGTTTTTCAGAATCTTGGATCCGGATGTTTTTTCAGGTCTCCGGCGTTTTTTTCGGACTCCGGCGGAACATTTTGCCGGATTGAGGTCCGGCACTTTTTTCCGCCCAAAGGAGGATCCAGGTATACTCCGCGTACTAAAGTTGCACTACAAAGTCGCCAGTTCTCATCTTCCAGCTCCGCAGACTCCGCGTACTAAAGTTGTACTACAATGTCGCCAGTTCTCAGCTTCCAGCTCCACAGATTGCTCCGCGTACTAAAGTTGTACTACAAAGTCGCCAGTTCTCATCTTCAGCTTCCCAGATACTCCGCGTACTAAAGTTGTACTACAAAGTCGCCAGTTCTCATCTTCCAGCTCCCCAGATACTCCGCGTACTAAAGTTGTACTACAAAGTCGCCAGTTTTCATCTTCCAGCTCGCCAGATACTCCACGTACTAAAGTTGTACTACAAAGTCGCCAGTGCTCATCTTTCAGCTCCCCAGATACTCCACGCCCTCAAGTTGTACTACCCACTCGCCAGTTCTCATCTTCCCGCTCCCCAGCTACTCCGCGTACTACTCTCGCACTACCACGTCGCCAGTTCTCAGCTTCCAGCTCCCCAGCTACTCTGCGTACTAGAGTTGCGTACCAAATCGCACTCTCGCCTGCGTTTCGCGCACTCGGCACGCACGATCTCCGCAGAGGGTTGCGCGGGCAGCCGGCAAATCGCACTCTCGCCTGCATTTCGCGCACTCGACACGCGCGATCTCCGCAGAGGGTTGCGCGGGCAGCCGCCAAATCGCACTCTCGCCTGCATTTCGCGCACTCGACACGCACGATCTCCGCAGAGGGTTGCGCGGGCACCCGGCACATCGCACTCTCGCCTGCATTTCGCGCACTCGACACGCACGATCTCCGCAGAGGGTTGCGCGGGCAGCCGGCAAATCGCACTCTCGCCTGCATTTCGCGCACTCGACACGCACGATCTCCGCAAAGGGTTGCGCGCGCAGCCGGCAAATCGCACTCTCGCCTGCATTTCGCGGACTCGACACGCACGATCTCCGCAGAGGGTTGCGCGCGGACCGGACAAATCGCAGTCTCGCCTGCATTTTGCGCACTCGACACGCACGATCTCCGCAGAGGGTTGCACTTTCGGTTGACGCTGTTGGTCCCGCCCTCCGCCTTTAAGAGAGAATTTATAAAGTGGGGAAATGTTTTTTCATTAGGACATCTCCCGTGCTAGTTTTCCATACTCACACTTGCCTACTCATTGCATGCTTGCATGCTCAAAGCATGCTTGCGTACCCATCACTAGTATACTTACACTGCGTGCTTGCCGAGTGTCAGTGTGTATGTGTACGTGTCAGTGTCGAAGTGTCAGTGTATGTAGTGCGAATGTGGTGGAAGTGTCAGTGTGTAAGTGTAAGTGTCGAAGTGTCAGTGTTCAAGGGATTTTCCGGAAGAACCCTTCGCAATGCTTTCGGGAAAAAAGAGAAGGAAAGAAAGAGAGAGGGAGAGAAAGGGAGAGGGGAGAAAGGAAGGTGTTCCCAGCTACGAACAATCGTCCAGGGACACACCAAAGAAGGAAAGGGAGATCCTGAGTATTACATTCAGGAAAACCCCAGAAAGCAAGGAAAGAAAGGGGGAGGGCAGGGGGAGAAGGGGGCTAAGTTCTCCACAGGTTCCAATGAACCTAGAAACTGGCTTCGACCGCTATGGTCACCTTGTGCCTTGCCGAAATGGCTGGCTGCTTTGACCGCTGCGGTCACGTAAAGGCATAAGCCAACTTAGAATTCCAAAGATGGGTCCAAAATCTTCGTACGTACGGCCTAGGCCACCTACGCTCGCTGCGAGCTGCTCTGTATCCGGGCAGTGGATACGTTCGACGTACACCCATTCGACGGGTCCACGGGAGGCACTCTGCGGGCTCATCCCGGGTTGGCACAAGGCCAAACACACTTAGGATATTGTGTACTGAACTGAATGCGGTGCCACACGCCGGCCCAGGGTTCCATTTCCTAAGAGTATCAGTAGGAAACCATCGAATCCTGGAGGTCTTAAAAGGAAAGGAGCCCCAAAGCGCAAGATCGAGGTCGGCCATCAGGTCGAAGTGACGACGTGTCGTGCATGTCTGCAGTTTGAGGTTCTGGGCTTAGCCTCGTGCCATTCCGTGTGAAAAGGCAGGTACGTGAGTCAGGCGTCCCTGACTCATATCACAGGAAGTCCATGGTGTCTTCGTTGGATGCCGACCATGGAAATCCCCGGCATCCCCCTGCTGTGGTAAGAACTAAAGATTACAGCTGAAAAATCCGAAAGGATCCCTATGATTCCAAGGGTTACACACACACACGCACACACTTTTTCAAGTCAAAAGAAGATCCTCAATAAATAGATTTGGTCTGGGGTCGTTTAAGGTTGTTTCTTTTTTGTGTGTGCGTTTTCTTCCACCAACGTGGCCAGCGAGTTGCTTGTTGGGGGAGACACAACGAGCGAATCTGAGCAGCGACACCCAGGCTGCTCTGCGGCACCTCGCCGTCCGCTGCTCCTTCTGGCACTGGCGATGCTTGGGACCCTGGGCTCGTGGCCACGCGTCGGTTCCGTCTACCTGGGCTATGTGGAAGGCGTTTTCCATTGGATGACAGATGGCGGACTTCTCACCGCTTCTGAGCTGAAAGTGTTCCATGTTTTTGCTAGCTGCTAGCAGATCAGGAAATCTGGATAACCTGCAAAACATGTTTTTGGGGAAATTGGGTGTCCCACTAAATAGTTTTTTTTGCCCTACAACGTTGATCGGGGTCAGCTTTGAGCTTTCGATGACTTCGTGGATGGGGGATCTTGACAAAACAGAACTTGGGTGGCTTGCTTGATTTTGCGTATCAGGTGATGGAACAAGAAGCTACTAGTAACAAAGGGCATCGCTACTAGGAGCGATCGGACGCTACTAGGGGCTCGGGCCTTACTGCTAGGAACAAGAAGCTACTAGTAATAAGCGCATTACTACTAGGAGCGATCGGACGCTACTAGGGGCTCCTGGCCTCACTACTAGGAACAAGAAACTACTAGTAACAAGGGCATTACTACTAGGAGCAAGGACGCTACTAGGGGTTCCTGGCCTTACTACTAGGAACAAGAAGCTGCTAGTAACAAGGGCATTACTACTAGGAGCAAGGACGCTACTAGGGGCTCCTGGCCTTACTACTAGGAACAAGAAGCTACTAGTAACAAGGGCATTACTACTAGGAGCAAGGACGCTACTAGGGGCTCCTGGCCTTACTACTAGGAGCAATGACGCTACTAGGGGCTCCTGGCCTTACTACTAGGAACAAGAAGCTACTAGTAACAAGGGCATTACTACTATAGGAGCGATCGGACGCTACTAGGGGCTCCTGGCCTTACTACTAGGAACAAGGTTTGCTATCAGAAACAAGCACCCTGATCACCTGATTCCCGTTTCGTTTGGGTCTCCCCGAGGTTCCTGGGAATCGGTGTTTTTCATGTGTTCCCTTGGTTCCAGCCGCAAATCCGAGGTGAGACATATATATATATATATATCCCAGACCATCCATGGGACTGGCATATTTACATTTAACTTGGGGGTTGTTTCAGGGGTTGTTATGTGGGCATATATGCCAGTCCCATAGGTCTAGTGTTTGGGTAATCTTCAGCATCTGTTGACCATTTTCTGACGCAGGTTCTCTCCACTTACGTGATCTTCTACTCCTACGTGCGTGTTTGCCTGAACGACGATTGTGCACAGGATTTGCGGAAGACCTACGGAGGAATTCTGGAACTGCCCGCCAAGCCTGCTGCTCCACTGGCCACGGAGACTACTCTACAGGGCTTCACTGAGAAGATGCTGGTGGTAACACCCCATATTCATCCACGATTTTGGGTGATTATACGGTTTGCACTCTTTCTTTCAATAACTCATGCAAGCGATTTCCAGTGGATGTCACCACCGGTATTTGGATGCTCATCTTGTCGGGGGCCATGCCATCCACCGTGATTGTTCCGTGTTGCGTCAATTTGTTGAACGAATTCAGAGGCTCCCTTTTTGTTACCCATCGCACCCATCGCACCTAGTGTTCTTCCTGTGGCGTGGTGATCGAACGTGAATTCACCTCGCCATCCAGAGGAGACGCGATGTGACTGGATGGCACGGCAATTGGGCAATCTGTGCGTTGACTTCCTGAGTAGCTCCCGCTTGCTCATCGCGTGGGCAGAAGATTGGCCACAGGGCTTCATTGGAGTCTTTTCTCAATTTGGTATGTTTTGTCACCATCAATTTGGGCCTGGCAGACTCCAATCAATTTGGGTGGTCCATCTTCAGAAACGTGTTTTCCGCATTTTGGCTGCACCTCAGAAAAGGTCACTTGAAAACGAGAACATCACAAGCTCACTTGCGGAGATGTGTGCGTCAGACTGTTTTTTTGAGCCACACATGTCGTTTTTTTAACACGCAGATCTAAGGAGTAGTTCTGGTGTTTGCTATACACTCTCACGCTACTGAGTCCCAGCAACCCAAGAAGATCGGTTTCGCTGGAATCTCGGCCATCATCAGTGTGGGCAAAGGCATCTTGATCCCCTTCTTCCAAAAGTACATGTTTGAACAGCGCAGTGCTGCTGTTCAGAGAGGGCTGGATGCACTTTTGAGTCCTTTGACGCTTGAAGTCTTGGTGGACCAGCTGCCTGGACCTGTACAGGCAAGAAAGGTGGGTCGCACCTTGCAAGAGTTGGTCCGTGAGGACTCTCGAGACGTCTTGAAGCGTTTGAACGTCGGGGAATCGGAGCTCTTCCACCCCATCCACCAGCTGCGCTCGGACTGGCTCAACGACCTGTTGAAACTTGGCGAACTGGGCGACCTGAGAGAAGGTGGTCTCGGGTGTTCCCATCGTTTCCTTCCGAAAACATGGGTGAATCCCTGTCAATCCCCTCATGAACAAGTAATAACACTCCGAATCACATCACATCGAAGTGGAGTTCACCACTTCGAAGTGTAAAGGAACGTGGTCTTCCAAGTTCCATGTGTTCGTCGACGTGTACATATATAGGGTGATCTCTATTGTCCGTTCCCGCCCCCCAAAAAACTCGGTGAATGTCCTAATGAAACCTGAGGAATTGATTCAAAATGGGTGAATCCATGAGTTCGCCCCTTATGAACAATTAATGAACCCCAGGAATTAACATGGAAGTGGAAAACCATCTGTTTGTAGTGGAAAATGGTCTTCCAAGGGGCCAGGCCATCCACTTCCATGTTAGTTCCAGGGAGTGTAATGAACCCCAGGAATGTCTACTTGTTCTTCCTTCCAAATCCAAGGAACCCCGAGAACCGCTTCTTCCGCGCCTTTCAACGCTGCCTCCTTCGGAGCTACGGAGCAGAGGCGGTGCGCGAGCTGGGCTTTAGTGTGGCGGAGTGCCAACGGGCAGTCCTGGCTGGGCTTATAATTCAGGGTGATTCTTTTTATGTATGTTCCCGGTTTTCTAGGTACATCCCCTAACCTTGGGGAATCTGTTTCTATTCTGTTTCTATATGGTTTTTGTCCAGGAAAGCCGCACATCCAAGGCAGGCTTCACTCTCGGTCAGTGCCGCATCGCCGGGTACCCTCCGGATGAGTGCCGCGACGTCTATGAGACTGGCGACGAGAAGACGGGTCGTCAGCTGAAGGCGGTGGGGTTCTCCGCCATGGACTGCAAGAATGCTGGCTTGTCGGCGGTGGTATGTCGAGCGGAAGGTTTCTCCGCCAAGGATTGCAAGGATGCTGGCTACTCTCCCAGGGATTGCAAAGCAGCTGGCTACAAAAGCCAAGGGTTTTTAAGCATGATGTGGAAGTAGAGTCGGTATGGAGTCAATTTCTGCACAAGTTCCAGAATTGACCACACTGTTGGCCATCAGAAGCTGGCGCAAACAAGCTTCTGAACACTGAAGTCATTGGCGCAAACAAGCGACGAAAACGCAGCACAGCTGAGTGAGATAGTCTAAGACGTCCTTCCGCTGCCCAGCACCGTTTTGGGCTCCTGTCTCACCATCCGACCAGGTGGGACTGAGGTGGGTGGTTGTGGGGGGGTCAGTCTCCAGCTCCAGAGGTGACAGCTGCTCCCCTTGCCCGTCCAAAGCCAAGCAATGGTGGCCAATCACCTGTGGTGACCTCTATCGGCGAATCGACCGGAAGCTTTGAGTGAGCACATGTTGCCTCTGAGTCCTTTTTAGTGGACATGATGCAATCACCGGGACGTGACCTATACGGGGGGGAGAGAAAGGTGTTTTTGTTGAGCACAACAAGATGAAGAAGAAGGTTAAATTGTGACGCACTTCGACGGAACATGAGACAATGAGTATTAAACTGATCCCTGAAAAGAGTAGAACCTCCTTTGCAGACAGGAGGTGATCTCCATTTCCGGTGAATCAGAGGGTATGAGGATATGCAACACTATGCTTCCGGTTCCCCCGGACAGAGAGTTGTCTTCCCTTTTCCACATTCATCACGCTCAGATTTCTGCCTGGAAGGATTTGCTAGGTACCCCTTTGTGCCATGCGCGCCGCGAAACAGCCATGAAACGACCTGCTGCATTGGCCATGAAGCGGCCTGCCGCCTCGGCCATGAAGCGGCCTGCAGCACTGAAGCGGCCAAGTTCCACTTCAGCCGCGGTGCTGAAACTGTCGGTACAAGACAGCCGTGGCGGAGGCTATCCACTGGTCAACATGTCCATGGAGATTGAGAAGGGACAGCGCATCGATGATGTCAGGGGAATTATAGCACAGGCGTTTGGAGGGCCTCCGGAGTTCATGCAATTCTCTTCAGATGGACAGAACCTCTCTGGTGAGGATTCCATTGACACCTTGGCCAAGCGAGGCCAAGTGAACTTGGACCTCCGGCAAGCTCCTGACGCACCATTACCTGGAAGCCAATGGATGGGTGAAAACACCATGCAGGTTCCTGCTGATGCCGAGGAGCGCAAGGGAACTGTTTGGATGGAAAGTACTGGAACTGGAGCGCTCTCTGCGACTGAGGTCTCCGCAGATGACTATGCTGCTTTGCTGAGAACACTCCAGGAAGACGAAGACCTCATGCGCCTACGCAACTCGCCCGACAACTTCAGGACCGAGGTGAACGACGTGGTGGCAGAGCGTGCTTGGTGCCGTGTCTTCCGGTATGAGGACTGCTTGGATTTACTTGAGGAACCTAGAAAAAAGATGAAAAAAGTATTGCCCAGGTTATGGGATTGACCCAGAAGCCGGGAAAATCCAGCGATATCACACTGAATGAAGCCAAACCAGGGTGTCCCGGCGCCATATTATGATGGTTCCATATATAGGACGTCCCCCTCAGGAAAGTCACCTGAATGAAGCCAAACCAGGACTGCACCATTGCCCCGGATCCAGAGCAAAGCATCGAATACTTCGACGCCTTTGCGACAGCCATCCATGCAGCGCATGCTTCTTCACCCGGCGATGGCGGTGTCCTGGTTTAGCTTAATTCAGTGTGATATCGCTTGATTTTCCCGGTTTCTGGGGTATACCCCCTAACCTGGGGAATAGTTTTACTATGTTTTACTATCAGTTTATACAGTTTTCGATGTTTTATAGTTGTTCAAGGCTTGGAAGCCGCAAATCCGAGGTTTCAAACCGCTGGTGTCGAGCTTGAGTTGCCAGGCCTCGGTGAACTCGGCCAAGGGAGATGCCTGGTTGCGCGTGCTGGGCGTGGTGAAGTATGACAACATCAGCTTTGGCATCTTGCAGGAGTATGACGGTGAGGGCTTCTTGAGCCTTGGTTTATCTTGGTTTTGTGGTTTTCGGGTGGCGATCTAATTATATATTATATGTTTTACTTTGTTTTGGTCTTGGGTGAATCCCACCCAGACATGGAGATCTACAGTATAAGTATAGATATTTTCCTACATCGACCCCTCAAACAATCCCAATGTATGTATAAATATGCGAGCCCCAAGTGTCTTGTTTGGGTTGCGTGTTTCCAGTTTCCTGAGGATCGCTCTGCGTGGAGGTGAACTTAAGACCCGCTTTCTGGTTGAGGTGCTCATGGGCTTCTCTGATGCTTTGTATCGGCAATCTCACAGCATGTGGATGGGTGCCTTGGCTTGGAGCTATGGTTCAGAAATAAGGGTTATATTTTGAGCACAGGGGCAATCAAAGCACCAGCACCGAACATGTTTCTGTTGTGAGTGTCAGATGTTGGGGCTCCACCAAATGTTTTGTAAAGTAAGAGTCAGGGAATCCTTTATGCTAGCCACTGATGCTAGCTAAACTTCAGACTTGCAAAAAAGTTGAAAAAGAAACTCTCAGCTAGGCTTTTAGCACATGACTTGAAGCCGCCGCCGCTCGGAAGGTGCCCGCTACAAGTTCTTCTCCCATCGCTTCCAAGTGTGGAGGTCGCCGACGCAGGGAGCGCTGGGCCCCAAGGCCTCCAGCTTCCATGCATCTTTACAGGAAGCATTTGAGATGATGGGCTATGCCCAGGTGGGCACCATCGTTGTTCAGCAGCTGGAAAGGGTCAGGGCCGGTTTCGCTGAGAACTCTCCAACGAAGCTCTTTCAGGATGCACGTGATGCGGCCCAGGCGAGTTCGGTCGTACTTCGAGATGGAGCTCCAATCGCTTGAGTGCCAGCCATATAGCCATCTAGCCTATCCCGTTGCCTCATCTGCACCACTGCAGGCTCCCAGTTCAGGTCTTTCAACCTCTCTGGATGGTCTGCCGCTCTTGCAGCGTCGCGACGCGTCGGCGGGCCGTGCACCGAGTTCACTCGCCGCCCGGCGGTCGGAGCCCATGCAGGTTCCACGCGGGTGGTGTTTCCACCCATGCGGGGGGCAAGCACCAAAGGTGCTGGACCCAGCGGGCACCAAAACGTTGGCATTGGCGCGGTGGTTGGCTGCTTGAAAGAGGTCGCGGATGGTCGGAGCGACGAGGATGTTGACCCCTGAAACCATCTGAAACCAGAAGCCGGCCGTGAGGTTCCGTTCCTTCTCTGTCCAGTGTCATTAACAGGTCGCGGAGCCCATGTATTTGGAATGTAAGAATCCGGGCCCGAACCAACAGATAGGGTTTGGTTCAGGCCCGGACCCCTGCAAAGAGGTCGGGTCCGACCGCTGAGAGCCCCGAGCTCGGATTCGGCACACCTTCTCCATGTCGAAGCATCTATCCATATCGATCCGAACGTCCGCCCCGGAGGCGCGCGGACGAAAAAGGGAGAACAAAAGCCCATGGGGGGGCTCGATAGAGCGGTCCTTTTTGGGGAGACTCAACTCTGCAAAAGACCCTCAGAATTGGGCCCGATCGAATTCCGAAACAATCCGATGGTGGACGTCCACCCGCCTGAGGAAGTCCCATGCGAAAGGCCTCGGCAAGAAGAGCTTCGGCGCCAGTGGATGCAAGTAGCTGCGGGTGTTTCTTCGGCTCGGTTGGTGTGTTTTTTTCCCCGAGAGTTTCTAGATTAGGGATCCAAGCTCGTACCTCGTGAGGTACGGTGATGAAGGAGACACTGTGATGTAGCGAGTTTCTATAGGGATCCATGCAAGTACCTTCGTCAGGTACGGTGATGAAGGAGCAACTGAGACATGAGACGGTGCCAGCCAGTCGAGTCCAGGAGTCACCGAGCCTGAGGTTTGGAACGGTAGCAGTGGATTCCTATCAGGGAGTGGCTAACCCTCCGAAATCGCCCCGGTGGTGTCCCAACCAACACCCCCCCTCTTAAGACGTAAGACGAGGCTAATATATTATAAACACCTTCTTCCAGAAGGTCCTGGCAGTCTTCTTCAAGTTTTATACACTTTGACCCAGACCATCCATGATAACTGGAGCTCAGATGCCCCAGAAAAAGACTCCCAAGGTCTTCCACCCCCCCCCCCGACCTGATCGAAGATCGGCCAGTCCCGATTGGGCGGCCAGAGGGGCCAGAGGAGGGGCCCTAGCCTTAAGTGCCCTCCCTGGAACCCAGTAGATGGTCTCGTGGAGGCTGGACTTGCCAGAGCATGCCAGAGCTTCCCTTGAGGGGGTTCATCAAAAGATCAGCTGTCCAAAGAAACAACAAGCCGCTTGAAGTAACGTAATTACTCCAGAATCAAGGGACATGACCAGAACAAAAGCCTGCATGACCATGCGTGTAGCTAAGTTACGTGCCCGCATGTCCGAGGTAAAATGTCTTGCAGGTTCCTACCTGCACCATCCTGTCTGGGTGCTGGAGATCCCGGACAGCAGTCTAGGGTAGTCCAGGACACCCAGACAGGATGGTCCTGGTATCCATGCTGTATCCATGGTGTTTCGAAGACCGGAGACGTTTTCTTCTGATCACCGAGAACCGGAACATCACCGGAGCTGCAGACACGACCACAACCTGGGAGAGATCCAAGGACTGCCGCCCTCAAATCACCTCGAATTTCTACCACCTCAATGTATACTACCTAGAGCCTGACTGACCTTTGCTTTGATAGGAAAAGACCATATTTGGGATAGTTGATCCTCCAAAACAGGGGTCACTCAGGCTCCAGGTAGGTAAATGGATGAAAGATCCACACAGGTGGTGTTTGGGAATGTGTCCGATGTGTCACCAACGACATTCGAAGGTTTGGGTCCTGAAATCCGACTGGATGGATGGGAGATCCTCCCACTAGTTCTGAGATGTCTACATGACTATGCCCTCACTCTGGTGACCATACTGGATTCCAAGGACTCTGTATGTCAACATGTTCTAAGGGTTTGGGTCCTCAATCCCACCATGAGGCATCATAGTTCTTGAATGTGTTGAGGTTAAGAGACGATTCCCTGGAAACCAAGATGAAAGCAGGGGCGCCCACGGATTGAGGCAAACACCCCACAATCCCCAGTTGTGTCTTGGGTTTTGAGCAAAAACAACCCAAGGGCTACCGGGCTACCAAAAACTGGTTGATTGTGATCGAAGAGTGTGAGTTTCAAGACGTTGGGTTTGCTCCTGTTGATTATGTTGGTCTCAAGCAAAGGCTGCAAGGACTTCACACAAGACCCTCCGCTGATACTCTCGTGTGAGTTTGGTGGTCTGAAGGGTAAGTCGGGACCGAGGCATTTTCGGTGAGTTCTACGTCACACCCGAGCGCTACAGCACTATGACTGGCCGTGGGAAAGATCATGCCATGTACCATCGGCGCGTAGGCTCACAGGCTTTTGAGGGGTGCGGTGGTGATTAGAACATCTGCCGTAACTACCCCCCCGTGCGACAAACATGGAAGTTGGCAAGGTGGTACTGTAGAGGAACACGTGTTTTTCCTGGGGGGCTATGTTCTACTTCCATTATTGTTGAGGGGAGCGTAATTCGAACTGCATTGTAGCAGAAAGTGTGCAAACTGTGATTGGTAACGGTTCCATTTATATATCTCTGTTTGGACATTGCCTACCCGATTTCAAATTGTTACCCAACCAGCGCTTCAGCTCTAAGCATGTCTTCTTTGGACACTGTTGGTTTCATGCAGAAGGCCCTCTTCAGCAGAGTTTCTCATGATGTGTTTGGAGCTTTTGTGTCTGGCAGTAGTGTGATGGTTGAATCATCGCATGAATGCCATTTGTCCAGTTGTGTTCTGGCTATCTGCGCTGTGGGGCACTGTAGTCCAGTTGGTGCAAACAACGCAGGTGCCCTAGTTGTATTGCAGTTCGGTCCAGTGATTCTATGTAGTTTGTTGCTTCACGTGTTCATATTATGTGTTCATCGAGTTTGCCCCTGGACTGGAGACCAAGTCCATGTTCCGGAAGGACGTTTCAACCACCTTGGGTGTAAAGAAACACCTTGTGTTTCATCCATCTCATCCATCTCCTGAGGATTCGCTCGAGGTCAAAACCTGGAGCCCAATCATCGCCGCGACCGGTCCTGAGCTCGCAGGTACGGCACCGATCAGTTCATCGAAGGGCCTCAGACCATGAAGGGCGGCATCGTCGCCTGGCCGGGGACCGGAGCCTCTTCTTTTTGAGGCGTACCTGGGGCGATGTTGGTGGAATTACAAGTCGAAAAACACGGAGAAAGCACCATGATTGGATGCAGAATCACCACAATGCTACACGACTACGCCTACGCCTATGCGAGTCATTCGGGGTCGTGTTACCATGTGTTTGTGTGTGTTTTGTTCTCGCCCCATTTGCCCTAAGGACTCCCACGTACCTATTTGGAAGTGACATCATGAAACATCTGGGGCTGGTTGTTAATGGGGGGTCAATGGTCAAGAGATTTTGTCCCAGAGAGGTCCTGTCAGATGGACAATGGAGTCGGCGGCACCCACACTCTGGACACCAGACATAAGGCCGTCGCACGCAGAGAAGAACACGGCCTGTTCACGCTGAACATGCCGTGCGCACACGACGTGGTGTTTGACCACTTCCTTTGGTGAGCACACACTGCACTGAACAAAGACGGAGGAAAAAGGCACTTATAAAAAATACATGGCTTCGCGGACCCACTGTTAATGACACTGGACAGAGAAGGAACGGCTTCACCTGACCGAGACCTACGGGACCTTTCACGGGTGGGGAGCGGCACAAAACAGTGGAGACCTAGGTCTCCTCTTCTCAAGACACTTAAGGTCTCCACAGTGGTCTCCACGTGTTGTTTCTTGTTGTTTAATTGGTTCAATTGAACATCTAGATCGAGGAAACAGTTTTTAGGGGTGAAAACATGGGTTTCCTGTGGATGTGTTCCCTTAAAACATCTTAAAACCAATTCATTCACACATACAAAGTTGCAATCGACCTTCGAGTAACTTCTCAGCCACTCCAAGAACCGCATGGACATGTCACATGTCGAGAACCTGCTTGTTTCAGCTGAGGTCTATTCGTACTACTGGTACATGTTCACAGCCTTCATCTATGGCAAACCACAGCTCCTCGGTGTCCGTTTTCCACGGCCGTGGTGTGAAATCAACTGGGTCAGTCATGCGAGCCTGTAGACTGCTGGGTCGGTGAAGAATCGTGGAGAGTGGAGAACTAGGTGGACAAAACAGTTGAGACGATAACGATAGGTGGTGGCTTTGGATACGGTCTATTTTCCAATATGTATGTTTCAACCTTTTCCATGGGATATATCGATGATTGAACCCACTGACTCATATTGTTCAAGTGGGTTGAAAGCACCAACTGGGTAAGAAATTGAATCCGTCAAAGATTCCACGACTGCCCATGTTCACACCGTTTGCAGTTATTCTGATCGTGTTGAGTTCAAAATAGTTCTGGAGTTGTCTTCATTGTGGTTTGCAGGAAGGACAGACCAGACCCCAAGATGATTGGATAGCAACCCCGGTTGGCTAGCAACCGTGCACCTTAGATGCACCCGTTGTAAGCTATAAGGGTAGTCCCAAGATATAGAGTTACAAGAGGTATTGACATCAACATACATCAACCCAACTAGCTTAGCTGGAATCTCCAGGTGATGCTGGGCATCACCTGGTCCATTCCCGGCTTCCGGCCATCCTAGAAGCAAGCGAACCCAAGCAACAGCAACTAAAGCCTGCTCAAGAAGGTCTCGTTCTCTGCCTGAGGCCAATGGGCCGACGAGATCCGGCTCCGTCGGCCGTGCCAGGGCTCCGCCGACCGCCGAGGTATGCCGATGGCTTTGGACTGGCCTATGCAGAGGAGCAGAACATGCTGGACACCTACGATGAGGTGCGCCCAGGGAGGTGGGACGAGACTTACCAGAATCAAAATACAAGGAAGAAACACTGACGATGGGGTGAAAGGATCAAGCACAAAAACAAAGTTTCCCAATGCTGTCGTATAACGACTATGACTCAGATCGCTCGGCTTCGTGTCCGCTTCTCTGGCACCGGTTCGATCGCAGCGGTCCGACGCATCGGTCGGAGTTGGACACCGGGGGCGACGTGTTCGAGGATGATTGGGAGTTAGAGGAGTCATTCGCCGGGTGTCGTCGTTGTTCTTGATGATTTGGGTGGGGAGTTGGAGGGAGGAACCTGTGCTCGTTTCTGCCCGCACCGCCTGACCCATCCAGTTTCGTTGGCATGAGTTGTTAGCCATCCATTCATGTTCGAACTGTTGGTATGTTTGGGTTCTTTGTTGCTAGTACCTGATATCTTTGACCCTGACCCTTTTCTTTGCCAAGTCGAAAGCACGAACGTTGCCATGTTCTGATGTGGGCTTTGGGCAACGTCCAGGAGGCGTTTTGGAACATATTCTTGGCCATTGGAGGATGGCCAAAGCAAACCTATGCAGAAACGAAACTCCGGTCTGATTGCTTTGGTGCTTTTGGGGCATTTGTGAAAGACCAGCACCCTCTGACACGGTTAGTGAGACCTCGTAGGGTCTAACAACTCCTCTTCTTCCTGTTAGCTGCATAATCTGTTGTGGCGTTTGCTTGTTTGGAGCCATTTGGAGCTCTTTTTTGGGGTGCAACCACAGGTTGCAGGCCAGAAGCGCTATGCCATGTGGAACTTTTGTGCCTCGGACCGATGATGTGCGTCGGGACATTGGGGCACTGGCCGACATGTGATCACCATGGGTCAGTTCTGAGATACATCCACGAACCGTTTGTTTGTTTTCGGATTTCTGTGAAACCTGACCCGCCTCATCATACACCAGGCTCTGGATATTGGATGCGTACCAACGAAGCTGGATGTTGGATGCGTATCAAACATGGTGGCCCCGGCAATGCGTTCGCCGAGCACGTTGCTTTGTGAGGTAAGGTCCCCAGGATTCTCTGGCCCAGCGTTTCCGACTTCAGCAAATCCAAGGAGAACACCTGAGGAACTGAACGAAGAACTGAATCCAAGGAGAACATCTGAGGACTTGGTCATCACCGGTCATGTTTCAACACCTCCAGTTGACCGAACTACCCGGGTGGACGTGGGCAGAACCGCTGACGCTCCGTATGCATGGTTCACCGAAGAATTCGTGTCGAGATGTTGGATGAGTCCATTCAAGAAGACATTTGGAGAAGGAACTCAAACTCAGACCCATGACACTTCCAATGAGTGCCCTGTTTGAAGACCTTTTTCAGCGTAGAAGTATAGGGTAGGGTAGTCTATTGGACACCCAGACAGGATGATCCTTGTACCCGTGACACTGTTTGTGTGTGTGGAATATGTACTATAGCAATATATGGGTGGTGGAATTTGCAGGGTTAATGTTCATTGATTTTTTGTTTTTTTTCTGCAAGTCCCAGACAGGTCGTCACTCCTCTTCGTGTGGGATCGGGACTATTTCGAAGGAGACGATCGAGAGGCGGCATTCCCAAAGAACACGACCACCCTTGGGGACTGGCAGTCCTATATGGCGCCCCATGTCTTCCCTCTGCTCAAGACTTCCCTGTCCAAGACTTCAGTCATTTGGCTTCCCAGCGGCTTCCCGAGAAAATTCGACCACCCTCAACCTCAACTGCTCGGTCAATCGGCCACCTCCCTGCGGTGTGTCCTGACCTTCGCTCCCCGCAACCAGCTCTCGGGGGTCCGAGCGGGTCGGAGCGGAGATCTCTTTCGCCGGAGGCAACAACCACGACAACTGGAGGATGCAAAGCATGACGAGTGGTTGCCTCAGGGGCGTGGTAGGAACTGAGTTCGTTGGAACAGGGACTTCCATGTTGGAATGGTGTTATTTCGAATCAAGGACCCGTCAAAGGTGAAGGTTTGGTTCAGGTCCAAACCCCTGCTATGCAGGGTCAAAACCCTCCATAGGAGGGTCTTTCTATCCTTAAAAAGAAGGATGGGAGAGGTATATTCCGTCAATCTTTGCGCTTCTTCGGCGCAAAGATGGCCATTCCGTTTGGTGTTCAAAGTGGTGCCGGCCCGTTGGCCATGTCCGTGCAGCACCATTGGAGTGTTTGGGAGGAAAAGGGAGAGCTATTTTCCCTTCAGAACATGGAAGTGGAAAAGGGATTGATCATTAACGGATAAACACTCTTGGCCCATGTAGAGGACAGTCGTTTTCTTGCGGCTTCTCCAATGTTTGATGACATTCCATGCCCCGCGAATTACTATGAACTTCACAAAACCCTACAGGTCCAGTCTGAGCCAGTAAAACCTGGTCCTGAAAACCTCATTGAGTAGTGTTTGTGTATGATCAACTCCGGTATTTCATGAGATTAGTTCCTGACCGATAGTGAAATTTGGTCTCAGTCGACCCCAATTCGCCGGGGCTCTCTGACGCAAACAAGAGTCATAGTTTAGAGACAATGGCAGAGCACATTTAATTTTCAAGG